TTACATATTAAGCAGTTGTGTTAACTACTAAGCCACAAGGTTCTTCTCCTTTATCAGCTGAGCCAGGGAAATAGGTATGTATATATGGGTGGATGGTGTTAACTTGGTTAGAACTGACTTGGATTTGATTACCTTTGTATCATTGTCATTTAGTGCTGGTTATCACGTAGTTTCTTAGATAGAGATAAAAGTTTTCCCCCCAAACAAACTGAATCTCTGTTTGGATGCAACGTGAACGCCGGAACGTGATAAAGTCATCATAGAACTGATGATCTTAGAAGCCCTTTTGATGTTTTCTCATACATTTACGAATGTAAAGGGGTCAAAGTACCAGGAATAAACTGTTTAATCCTTGTTATGTTGCTTGTTATGATGTCTGATGTCAAAGAGGAAGACCTTCTGAGCCAAAACTGTGTCTTTTTTCCATCAGCTGGAAAAAGCAGCGTTTGTATAATTTATGGAATTATTCTAGTTAGCCATATTTTAAACTTTTTCAACACGGGATCTACAAATACTCCAAAGTGGGTGTGATACTTTTTAGGTATGCACAATCACGGGAGATGCCCTACAGTTGGAAAAATCAAGTAATAAATCAAATAATAACAAACAGTATTTAAAAAGCACGGGTTTCTGTATTTGGGTTGTAAAAAGTTACATTTGGTTTTGATTGGGTTGATAGGATCCCTGGTTGATATACATCCAGAAGTGATTGGCATATCGTATAAAAAGGAGCATCTCAACTTATATGTCTCTTTAACAAATTATGTAGCTTTCACCAGAAGCGGCTTCCGTTCTTCTTGAGTTCTTCCTTGGAATCTTTGGATAAAGAACTTAAAATTCCACCTGCTTCTTCTTTCATCTGTGAAGGACCAGGCTGCCCTGTCTGGTTTGTGAAGGTTCTTCCTGGACCTGCATGCATCCATCCCTGATATAAAAGAAAACAGGATCAATTAATGCATGTACAAAAATATTATTCCCAATAAAAGAGGATTGAAATGAGGGCTCCTGGATGCTTTTTTTGAGCTTGGTGGTTTTCTTGAAGGCATTTCATCGCCCAAACTAGGTAACATCCTCAGTGCTGATGTTGGTATTACTATCCATTATGTCACCTTGTTCGGGTCCTGAAACATCTGCGAGAAAACAATCAAGCTCAGAGAGACTTTATAAAACCCTGGAACTATCACACCGGGAATACCGCAACCAATTTTGGTCACCATACTATAAAAAAAGAGGTTGAGACTTTGGTTCAGAGAAGAGCAACTAAGGTGATCAAGGGCCTGGAGACTAAACCATACACAGAACGGCTGCAGGTTTGGGGTTTGGCTAGTTTAAAGAAAAGAAGAGCTAGGGATGGCATGATAGCAGGATTCTAGTCTTGGAGGGGCTTCCAGAAAGGAGAGGGAGTCAAGCTATTCTCCAAAGCATCGAAGGGCAGGACAAGAAGCAATGGGTGGAAACTAATCAAGGAGAGAAGCAAGCTGAAATTAAGGAGAAATTAAGAGGCCGAGGTGGCGCAGTGGGTAGAGTGCAGTACTGCAGGCCACTTCAGCTGACTGCTAGTTCTGCAGTTCGGTGGTTCTAATCTCACTGGCTCAAAGTTGACTCAGCCTTCCATCCTTCCGAGGTGGGTGAAATGAGGACCCNCTCTCTCTCTCTCTCTCTCTCTCTCTATCCATCTATCTCTATCTATCTGTTACCTATCTCTATCCTATCCTATCTATTTCTATTTCTCTCTCCCATCTCTCTATCTACTGTATCCATCCATCCACCCACCCGTCCTTAAGGGTTTGTGGGGAAAGGACGCCCGAGAGAAGCCAGGGGAGAGAGAGGGAAGCATCTGGACTCTGGGGATACGATACCTCTAGCATACATCTGGTGCTCTAGGTTAGTCAGGCTGGCTGTGCTCCTAGTTCTAAGGTAGGCAAGAGGAAGGCCTAGCAGACAGGAAAGACAATGTTAGCGAGGAAAGGGGGGGGAGCAACAGGCAGCTCAGGGGGCAAGAGGGCGGCGGTCGGAAAGGGGGCGAGAAGCTGGCAGCACGAAGGTTCCCCCTGCGCCCAGCCAAGCGGGGTGGGAATAGGTTCCTTCCGACGGCTTCCGCCAGGCTGGGGCTTCCTGAGGCCGCTTGGACTACAATTCCCAGCCTTGAAGACGCGAGAGACTCCCACTGGGGCTTGTAGTCCTACTGATCGGAGTTGGGGACCGTTCAGAGTCACGACGGCATTGAGAAAAGTCGCTTGGGGCTTTTAGGGGGGGGATTGGGGAGGGGAGGGGGGAAACGTCATCTGTAGAGGAGGGGGTCTGAAGCATCTGACCGGAGGCTGTGCAGGGGGGTCACGGTGACCACCTCCGTGAGGCAGGCATGGAGGCCACGGGGAGTGGGGGCGGGGGGTGGGGGGCACACCTTGCCTGAAGGAAGGGGGGTCCACGGAAGAGCCCACCCAGTCTTCGGACTCCACGTCGGTGACTTCTTTCTCCTGGCTGCAGTAATCGGCCATCCAGGACTGCTTTGTGCTGGCGTATTGCTCTAGGAAGGGAGACAAGAGATGAATGAATGAATGAACGAATGGAGAGAGGGAGGGAGGGAAGGGAGGAGGAAGGAAGAAAAGGAATGGAGGGAGGGAAGGAAGGAAGGACTGGAGGAAAGAAAGGAAAGAGAACAAAGGAGGGAGGGAGGGGAGAGGGAGGAAAGGAAGGAGGGAGGAAAGAAAGGAAGAAGGAAGGGAAGGAGGGAAGGGGGAGGAAAGGAAGGGAGGAATGGAAAGAGGGAAGGAGGAAAGGAAGGAAGAGGAAGGAAGGATGAAGGAAAGGAAGGAAGGCAGGAAGGAAAGAAGGAAGGAAAAGGGAGGTGGGAGAAGGAAGAAAGGGAGGGAGGAAGGAAGGGAAAGAAGGAAGAAGGAAAGAAAGAAGGAAGGAAAGGAAGGAGGGAAGGGGAGGAAAGGAAAGGAGGAAGGGAGAAGGGACGAATGGAAGGAGGGAAGGAGGAAAGGAAGGAAGAGGAAGGAAGGAAGAAGGAAGGAAGGAGGGATGGATGGGAAGGCAGGAAGGAAGGAAAAGGAAGGCAGGAAGGAATAAAGGAAGGAGAAGGGAAGAAAGAAGGAAAGGAAAGAAGGAAGGAAAAGGGAGGTGGGAGAAGGAAGAAAGGAAGGAAGGAAAGAAGGAAAAGGAAGGTGGGAGAAGGGAGAAAGGAAGGGAGGGAGGAAGGGAAAGAAGGAAGGACGGAGAAGGGAAGAAGGAAAGGAAAAGAAAGAAAGAAGGAAGGAAGGAGGCCTCCTGCACCACAGCTGGGACAAGAGCTCTACGCAGTTCTTCCAGCTGTGACAGGAACGGACTTTCTCCACCAACAACCTACCGATTAACCTGGATGTGATGTTGACATCCAGGCGGTGCTTAGCCTTGACTTCCAGCTTCAGCCGCGAGGGGTGGAGGCGGCTGGCCGGCTGCCGTTGCCAAAACACGGAGCAGGGCCAAGGCTCGATGAAGGGCTCCCAACCTGGGACCAAAAAAAGAGAGAGAAATTGCCTTCACGGCGCCTGCAATTGAGAGTCTAGGCCGAGAAACCGGGTGACGGCGAGTTCTGGTCCCATCTTGGGCATACAAAGCCAGCTGGGTGACTTTGTGCCAGCCACTTGCCCTCGGCCCCAAGGAGGAGACAACGGCATTTGGAAAACCCCTAGAAAACCACAGGGATGGAACCAGAGGGTCTCCAAGAACCCAGACTGCAGGGAATCAAAATAAATATATACGCACAGAAACTGAGCCGCGAATTTTGGTTGCTAAGCGAGGCAGTTGCTAAGCGGGTCTCTCTTGCCCCAGTTGTTAAGGGGACCTTTGCAGTTGTTAAGTTGGACACGGGTCGATAAGGGAGCCTGGCTTCAGTGGCGCTGTGACTTCGAACGGTCACCGGTTGTAAGTCGAGGACCAGCCCAGCCGTGCTAGCGGCAGAGACTTACCGGAGAGTTCCCGGTTGTAATAGTCGCCGGAGAGCGTGAAGTGAGCGTAGCCTTCTGGGCTGGCTCTCAAATGCTGGAGGAAGTTCAAACCTGCAGGGAAACAACGGTTAGTCACAATGCTGCCACGCTTTCTGTTATTCTACTATGCCTTTTTCTATGGTGGGAAAATACGGAGTTAGATGAGAGGTAGCCATAACAACATTCTTTCTAGAAAGCCAAGGTCATCCTTTGTCTCGGCACCTCTGCACCTGACCGGAACTGGATGGGCATTGCATTATGGGTGTCCTCAGCCCGTGAGGACAAAAAGGTTAGCCATCACTGGTATAAGGTCTCCTGCTTGAGCAGGGGGTTGGACTAGAAGACCTTCAAGGTCCCCCCCCCGCTTTTTTTCTTTTATTTACTTCCTTCCTTCCTTCCTTCCTTC